GGATGCTGGCCAAGGTAACTTACGTGGGAGCCCTGACCTGAATATTTGGCAGGCTTTAAGTTTGTAGTCACAGGTGATTGACTGACACACGTGTGGTATTGTGAGTTGTTTGTGGGTTGTGACAGTGTGTTCCATGAGAATTGTGATAGTGAATGTTGTGAGTAGCCTGGGAGTTGTTGTGAATTGCTTATGAGCAGTAACTGAGTTTTGTGAGTGGTCTGAGGTCTGTCCTGAATCGCCTGTGGGCTGTAAGAGTGCATTTTGTGACTGCTGTAGTTACAACAGTGCATGTTGTGAATCTCATGGTTGTGACAGTGTACTCTTGCTTTTTAAAACTGCAATAGCGCATTCTCCATCGTATCCATAAACCTGCAATAGTGACGGACTCGATCTGCGCGTGTTGTTCAAATGAATTGTTACATTTAAACTCTGCAGTAGAGCCTCTCTTCGTCACAGTCCTCAGCTCACCTTGGCCAGGTTGGTGGACTTCCCGACGCCGTTGACACCGCAGAAGGTGACCACGTAGGGCCGGCGGTGGCGCTGGGCGTCCATGACGTCGCGCAGGACGTCCACGCGGCGCTGGGGCTGCAGGATCTGCACCAGGGCTTCCTGCAGGGCCTGCTTCACCGTGGAGGTCACGGCTGCCACGGGAAAGAGAAGCCGTCACGCGTGGGGGACGCTGCCGAGCCCCACATGCAACCAACCGCATGGCCACTTACTGGTGAACGTCCCCATCACCTTCCCTTCCAGTTTCTTGGCCACCGACTCGCAGAGCTGCACCGCGATCTCCGCCGCCACGTTTTTAGCTTGGAAAAAAATGAGACACAAAGGGGGAAGTTCCTGGGTTACGCATCACCGGGTGCGATTGCCAGACCAGACTGGTGTGGAACCACCAAAAGGTTCCCCAAAAACGAGGCAGGACCCCAGCTGGGAGGGGGGCAAGAACGGCCCAAACCGTGGGTGCCTGGACGTACCGATCAAGTGATCCTTCATCTTCTCCAGGACGGGGTCCATGTCCTCTCTGGTCAAGCTCTTGGAGCCCACCAGGCCTTTCAGCATCCCAAACATGCCCCCCAGGCCGCCCTTCTTCGCGCTGCGGGGAAGCAGAGGGGTTATCTTAGGTTCAACATACGACACGCAGCAACCAGATGCAAAAAGATTTGTCCCCAGTTGCGTTACTGGTTAAACTGGGAGAGAAAATCAAGCGGCTGTACCTGGGCTTCAAAGGGTTCTGGACCACCTTCTCCTCCTCGGCTTCGTCGTCGCTCTCGTACTCGAGGTCGTAGAGGCGGCCGGGCTCCCGATTGCGATCCCCGAGGGCCTGGGTGGGGGAGAAGAGACGCACCCTGAAAATCAGCGACCACTGGCAACGCCCCCTGGCCGTTTTTGCTGCTGCGAGAGCTCTGTGGTGGCTCTGAGGAGATCTCTGCAGCGGGGGGCTCGGCGAATTGACCCCATCTACAGAAAATGCCCTTTCGGCAGCAGATTTAGGGGCCGGGCACTGTGATCTCCAGCTTTATTTGTATTGCAACGCTCGGCTGATCCCAGAACAAGGCGCCACGGCATCGCCACGGCCCGACTTTTGATGTCCTTACGCTATCGGGGTCGAACTCCTCCATGGGACAAGCCTCGGCGCTGCCGTTGGTAGCGGAGTTGCTGTAATCCAGGACTTTGGCATTAGAGTTCCCCAGGTCCCACACTCGGGGCTTCTTCCCTTTCTCCTTCTGGGTTTCGGGTTTGGGAGATTTGCTGAAAGAAAAACCCCCCAAAAAAACCACGGTTTTGCAAAGCAGCGGCGATGGCCTCCTTGAAATTGTGAGAATTAAAAGCCTGTGTTACCCAAAAAAGCAGAAATTAAGGCTGGTTCTGTGTGCAGAGTTGATTTACCCACACTCTAACCTGGTCTCAGAGGGTTTTACCCCAAGCCAGGCATCGAGGCACCGCTGCCCTTTGCTCGCTGCAAAAGGGACCTGGACCCAGCCACGCTCTGGGGTCCTGGGCTCCCAGGGCAGGGACCAGGCTCTGTTCCCCTCCAGGACCCCCCAGCAAACAGGGAAAAGGGAAATAAGGTCTGGAAAAGCAAGGTTTGACTTCCAGGGGTCACCAAAGGAAGGAGCAGCTCAGCCACACCACCAGGAGGAGGGGGTTTGAAGAGCACCCGTGGCCTCGTCACCCACCTGGACTTCTCGCCCGCTTTCATGTGTCTCTTGAAGAATTCCTCCCGGTTTTTTTGCAGGATCTCATCCTTGGTCAGCTCCTCCCTGTCCCCAGCTGCAGGGG